AGTATGTGTTAGATGTGTTGACCGAAATGGGTCTAAGTGAGGCTAAGCCTTGTGACACTCCTATGGTTCCTAATGTGAGATTGAATGCTGAGGATGGAGAGAAGTTTGGTGATCTAGAAAGATACAGACGGATAGTTGAAAAGTAAAACTACTTACAATAACCGGTCCAGATATTGATTTTTCAGTGTATGGTGAGTCAATTTATCTCATCTCCTAGAACATCTCATTGGGATGCGGTCTTCCATATTTTGAAGTATCTAAAAGGAACCCCTGGACGTGGGATTATTTACAATGATCATAGTCATAATAAGGTAGAAGGTTTTTTAGATGCTGATTGGGCAGGATCCTCTATGGATAGACAGTCTGTGACTGGGTTTTGTGTTTTTATTAGAGGAAATCTTATTTCTTGGAAACGTGAAAAGCAACCGATTGTAGCTAGGTCAAGCACAGAAGTCTGAGTATCAGGCCATGACACAAGTTACGTGTGAGCTCATATGGACAAGACATCTTAGAGAAATTGGGTTTAGTGACCCAAGGACTATGGACTTGTGGTGTGACAACCAAGCAACCATACATATAGCAAACAATCTAATATTTCACGAAAGGACTAAGCATATAGAAATGGATTGTTACTTTGTATGAGAGAAACTTGAACAAAAGCTAATTGCTATTAATCATGTTAGAACAGGGGAACAACTAACTGACATCTTCACGAAATCTCTAGTTGGTAAAAAGGTAACTTATATTTGTAACAAGTTAGGCATGATAAATATATATGCTCCGGCTTGAGGGGGAGATTTGGAAACTATGTATATGCAGTGTAAAGGGTATATTTGTAATTACTAAGTCTGTGTATATATTTTTTTAGTGTTGGAAACTATGTGTATATATATAGTGTAAAGGGTAAAGGGTATATTTGTAATTATTGAGTGTGTATATGTTTGAGTTAGGGTGTACTGTTGACATTAAGTGAAATAGAGAAAATAACATGCTATCAGAGCTTGAAACGCATAAACCCTAAATTCATTTGCGTGATTCAGTTTTTCGACGAGTGCTGACTTCTTCCCTGGGTTTTCCGACGACGTCTGACCCCTCCCATGCAATTTCCAGCGACGTCCGACCCCTTCCTGTGTTTTCCGGCGATGTCAAACCCCTTCCCTGTGTTTTTCGACAACGTCTAACCCCTTCCCTCTATTTCCGGCGACGTCTGACCTCTTCCCTCTGTTTTTCGGCGACGTCTGACTCTGTTCTTCATTGTTTTCCTTTTTTTTTTTTTCCAGCGAGTGCTGATTCTGAGTGTTGGTTTGGTGCAGTAAATCTCTCCTCTGATTGTTGGTTTGGTGCAGAAAATTTTTGCATGGTTTTTGTTTGAAATATGGCTCTGTGTTTGTGTGAAAATGGGAACGCTTTGTGTTGGCTTGGAGTTGAAAATGTGATACTAGAGTTGTTCTGAATCTTGGTGGTTTGAGTTGTTGTGCTTGCTTGGGTTGTTTACTGTTGGGATTGTTGGGAATCGATGGAATTGTTGTGTTTGCTTGGGTTGTTTTGTGTTAGGATTGTTGTGAATCTATGGAGTTACGAGTTCTTTGCTGGACAGTATGGCCGCGGACGGTAAGAAGATGCTGACTGAAATTGTCACTTCCTCCACCAAAATTACTGATCGAAAATTATTAGGAAAAAAGAATTATATTCAATGGAAGCGGATAATCCGACGATATGTGTCCAGCATTGATATGGGAGACCATTTAATCGAGGATCCACCTAAGGAAACAGAAGATGATAGTAAAACTCGAAAAAGATGGCTCATGGAAGATGATAAACTCTTCAATCAGATTCAGAACACTCTTGATTCGTCCGTGGATGATGTGATTGGTCACTGTGATACAGTCAAGGAGTTATGGGAGTATCTAGAGTTCTTGTATGCTAGTAAACAAGACTTGTCTCATGCCCACGAATTGTTATTGAAGATATATCGAGCAAATATGCAAGAGAAGACATTGCTCGAATATTATACAGAGATAAAACAAACCTTTGAAGAAAAAATGGCTATGTTTCATATCCCTACTGACGTGAAAATGATGCAAGCACAAGAAGAACAAGTGGTTGTGTAATGTTTTCTGGCTGGGTTGAGACCGGAATATAAGATAGCTCATACACAACTTCTTACCGGTGAGACACTTCCTTCTCTCACGGATGTCTTTGCTCGCCTTCTCAGACTTAGTAAGGGGAAAGATCGAGGAGTGTCTAAGGACAAAGAAACCCTTAAGGATCCTAATGTTGATCATGCGGCCCTAGCTAGCATGAAGTCTGGTGATAGCAAAGGTAACAAAGGGACAAGTCGTGATCCTAAGAACAATTGTGGTAATGGCCCTCGTACTTGCTTTCACTGTGGTGCTGAGGGTCACGTAAAGAAAAATTGTTGGAAGCTCCATGGCAAGCCCCTAAATATGCAAGACACTCAGAAGTTTGCTCATGTTGTAACTCAAGATGGTCTCTTACCCACCCCATCACAGGTTACTATCTCCGTAGCAGAATATGCTCGTCTCACTCAAAATTCTTGCTCCCAGTCATCCATCCCATCGACCACCACTACTTTAACCCAGTTAGGTAATCCTACAGCCTGCTTGTCTACTTCTAGTAGTAACTGGGTCATTGATTCTAGTGCTACCCACCATATGACAGGCGATATAGGTATTCTCTCCTCATTTACACCTTCTCCCAATTTGTCTTCGGTTACCTTAGCTAACGGGTCTACTACACCTACTATTGGATGTGGTACCGCCCATCTCAACAAATCCATGTCTCTTTCCTCTGTCTTGTGCCTTCCTCATTTTCCCTTTAATCTTTTATCAATTAGTCAAATTACTAATGCATTCAATTGTGGTGTTTACTTTTTTCCTACTCATTGTATATTTCATGATCTTGGGCTGAGGCGGATTATTGGTAGGGGTCGTGTATCAGGTGGCCTGTATATGCTCGATGATGTCTCCACTCCTATCTCTTAACCTGTTGCGTGTACTAGTGATTCATCTCTATCCATACTACATGGTCGCCTTGGTCATCCTCCCCTTCCCATTTTGAAAAGGTTGTGCCCTAATGTAGGGCCAGTGTCACACCTTGAGTGTGAGACGTGTCAGTGTGGAAAATACCATAGAGTGTCCTATAGCCCTAGGATAAACAAAAGAGCCACAACCCCTTTTGATGTTATACACTCTGATGTTTGGGGTCCTTGCCTTGTGTTGTCAAAGTCTGGATATCAATATTTTGTTATTTTTGTGGACAATTTTTCACGTGTAACTTGGTTGTACTTTATGAAAAATCATTCTGAACTATTCTCCATATTTTGTACCTTTTATGCAGAAATACAAAATCAATTTACTTCATCTATTAAAATTCTCAGTAGTGATAATGCCAAAGAATACTTTTCTGCTCCTTTCTCTTTCTTTCTGTCTACTAGAGGTATTATTCATCAGTCATCATATGTTTATACACCTCAACAAAATGGAGTTACTGAACGAAAATCGTCATTTATTAGAAGTCGCTGGTACTCTCCTTTTTCACATGAAAGTCTCTACAAAATTTTGGGCAGATGCTATTTCTACAACATGTCACTTGATCAATCGCATGCCTTCTTCTGTTTTGGGTGGTCAAATCTCATTCTCCATCCTTTTTCCATCACAACCTTTATTCTCTCTTCCTCCTAAAGCGTTTGGGTGCACGTGCTTTGTTCAAGATGTTAGACCTCATGCATCCAAATTTGAATCTAGGTTCCTCAAGTGAATATTCGTGGGTTATTCCCGATATCAGAAGGGTTATCGCTGTTTTTCTCCTGTCCTAGGTAAGTACCTTATCTTAGCTGATGTTTCCTTTTTTGAAACCACTCCATATGTTGAGTCCTGCACCTCATCTACTTCTCTTGAAGCACCCCCTGATGATCTTCTTGTTTACCACATTACCCATCATAGTCCTCTACCATCTCGTCCTCCTATCACGCAAGTATACTCTTGCAGGGTTCACCAGCACCATGAGACACCTGCAACAACATCTGATCCACTGCCTCGTCCTCTGATCCGGTTCCTCCATCCTCTGACCATGATCATGATCATGATCTTCCCATTGCTCTTCGTAAAGGTAAGCGCTCTTGTACCTATCATATCTCCTCATTTGTTTCCTATCACTCGTTGTCTTCATCTTCCAAGTCTTTTATTGCCTCTTTAGACTCTATGTATGTTCCCAACTCTGTGTCTGAAGCAATTGCTCATGATGGGTGGTGACAGGCTTTGGAAGAAGAGATGTTGGCTCTAAAACATAATGATACATGGGTTCTAATGAGGTTGCCTAAAAATAAAAAGGCTATTGGGTGCAAATGGGTTTTCACAATGAAGGCTAATCCCGATGGGATTGTGGCTCGGTTGAAAGCTCGTTTGGTTGCTAAAGGTTATGTCCAGACGTATGGTATTGATTATTCTGAGACATTCTCCCCAGTGGCTAAAATGACCTCTGTCCGACTACTCATCTCTCTTGTAGCTTCATATCGTTGGCCTCTTCACCAACTTGATGTAAAAAATACTTTTTTACATAGTGATCTTCTTGAAGAGGTTTACATGGAGCAACCTCTGAGGTTTGTTACTCAAGGGGAGTTAGGAAAGGCATGCAAACTGAGGAAATCTTTATATGGCTTAAAGCAATCTCCACGGGCGTGGTTTGGGAGGTTTAGCGAAGTGGTGACTCAGTCTGGTTTACATAAGAGTGCTTATGATCACTCTGTCTTTTATAAGCAATCTAGTTCTGACATCATTCTTTTGGTTGTCTATATTAATGACATTGTAATCACTAGCAGTAATGATGTTGGCATTTAGAGTTTGAAAAACTGTTTGGCTTCCAAATTTCACACAAAAGACTTGGGTATTTTAAGGTATTTTCTCGGAGTTGAGGTTTCTCGGAGTAAGAAAGAGATATTTCTCTCTCAACGCAAGTATGTGTTAGATGTGTTGACCGAAATGGGTCTAAGTGATGCTAAACCTTGTGACACTCCTATGGTTCCTAATGTGAGATTGAATGTTGAGGATGGAGAGATGTTTTGTGATCCAAAGAGGCACAGTCGGATAGTTGGAAAGTTAAACTACCTTACAGTAACCCGTCCAGATATTACTTTTTCAGTGAGTGTGGTGAGTCAGTTTATGTCATCTCTTACGACATCTCATTGGGATGCGGTCCTCCATATTTTGAAGTATCTAAAATGAACATCTGGACGTGGGATTCCTTATAGTGACCATGGTCATAATAAGGTAGAAGCTTTTTTAGATGCTGATTGGGCAGGATCCTCTGTGGATAGACGGTCTGTGACTGGGTTTTGTGTTTTTGTTGGAGGAAATCTTATTTCTTGGAAAAGTAAGAAGCAATCGGTTGTAGCTAGGTCAAGCGCAAAGTCTAAGTATCGGGCTATGGCACAAGTTACGTGTGAGCTCATATGGACAAGACATCTTCTTAAAGAAATTGGGTTTGGTGACCTAGGGACTATGGACTTGTGGTGTGACAACCAAGCAGCCATACATATAGCAAACAATCTAGTCTTTCACGAGAGGACTAAGCACATAAAAGTGGATTATCACTTTGTACGAGAGAAACTTGAACAAAAGTTAATTGCCACTAATCATGTTATAANGACTGTGGCTCGGTTGAAAGCTCGTTTGGTTGCTAAAGGTTATGCCCAGACGTATGGTATTGATTATTCTGAGACATTCTCCCCAGTGGCTAACATGACCTCTGTTCGACTATTCATTTCTCTTGCAGCTTCATATCGTTGGCCTCTTCACCAACTTGATGTAAAAAATTCATTTTTACATGGTGATCTTCTTGAAGAGGTTTACATGGAGCAACCTTCGGGGTTTGTTGCTCAGGGGGAGTCAGGAAAGGTATGCAACTGAGGAAATCTTTATATGGCTTAAAGCAATCTCCACGGGCATGGTTTGGGAGGTTTAGCGAAGTGGTGACTCAGTCTGGTTTACATAGGAGTGCTTATGATCACTCTGTCTTTTATAAGCAATCGAGTTCTGGCATCATTCTTTTGGTTGTTTATGTTGATGACATTATAATCACTGGCAGTGATGATGTTGGCATTCAGAGTTTGAAAAACTGTTTGGCTTCCAAATTTCACACAAAAGACTTGGGTACTTTAAGGTATTTTCTCGGAGTTGAGGTTTTTCGGAGTAAGAAAGGGATTTTTCTCTCTCAACGCAAGTATGTATTAGATGTGTTGACTGAAATGGGTCTAAGTGAGGCTAAGCCTTGTGACACTCCTATGGTTCCTAATGTGAGATTGAATGCTGAGGATGGAGAGATGTTTGGTGATCCAGAGAAGTACAGACGAATAGTTGGAAAGTTAAACTACCTTACAATAACCTGTCTAGATATTGCGTTTTCAGTGAGTGTGGTGAGTCAATTTATGTCTTCTCCTAGGACATATCATTGGGATGCGGTCCTCCATATCTTGAAATATCTAAAAGGAGCTCCTGGACGTGAGATTCTTTACAGTGACCATGGTCATAATAAGGTAGAAGGTTTTTTAGATGCTGATTGGGCAGGATCCTCTGTGGATAGACGGTCTGTGACTGGGTTTTGTGTTTTTGTTGGAAGAAATCTTATTTCTTGGAAAAGTAACAAGCAACCAGTTGTAGCTAGGTCAAGCGCAGAGTCTGAGTATCGGGCTATGGCACAAGTTACGTGTGAGCTCATATGGACAAGACATCTTCTTAGAGAAATTGGGTTTGGTGACCCAGGGACTATGGACTTGTGGTGTGACAACCAAGCATCCATACATATAGCAAACAATCCAGTCTTTCACGAGAGGATTAAGCATATAGAAGTGGATTGTCACTTTGTACGAGAGAAACTTGAACAAAAGTTAATTGCTACTAATCATGTTAGAACAGGGGAACAATTAGCTGACATCTTCACGAAGTCTCTAGTTGATAAAAGGGTAACCTATATTTGTAACAAGCTGGGCATGATAGATATATATGCTCCAGCTTGAGGGAGAGTGTTGGAAACTATGTTTATATATATGTAGTGTAAAGGGTAAAGGGTATACTTGTAATTATTTAGTGTGCGTATATATTTGAGTTAGGGTGTACTGTTGACATTTTTTAAGAGAAATAGAGAAGATAACAATGGCCATCTTTGTTTGTGTTTATTTTCATTCAATCTCCTTTTGAAGAATGTCGAAATCTTATTTCTTCCTTGAATCTTTTCCACTATCATCATCTTTCAATTTTATCAATAATATGGCATGTAAGTATGCTAATAGAATGTGCTAAATTTTTGGTCTGTATTATGGCATAATGTAACATCAAATTTGTTGTAGGACATTGAATAAAAGAAGGTAAAAAAAATAGATGAGAAAGAAAAAAGAGAGGAAAGATCATAGAAGGGCAATGGGTAGAAACTAGAATAGAGAGATAAAGGGTAAAACAATTAGAAGTAGGAAAATAGAATATGAAAAAAAAAAAAAAGCAGAGAAGAGAGGAGGCATAGAAAGAGAAGAAATTAAAGAGAGAGGAAAGATAGGAAAGAAAAGAGAGAAAGATAATAGAGACCAAGGTTTAATTATTCTTATCCATTCATATTTCAGCATTTAAAAAAAAAAAAAAAAAAATACTTGAAGGCCTTTTTGGTTTGATCTAACAGAAACCTAATATAGATAAATCTTATCAAATAACATGCTGATGAAATTTACCAAATAAGATGAACTAAAATTAAGTAACATAAACTAAAACCAAAAAGTAACTTAATCATATTTAATAGATATTTCCTAATATATTAAAATAGCACTTCTTGGTTCTGCATCGGGTTTAATGTTTAAATATATTTTATGCACTTAGCAAGAGTATTTCATCTTTTAATTGTGGTGCAGTACAACATTTTACTGTAACAAGCTTGGTGTTCTGAACATTTGGGTTAAGCATTTGCCTTTTTGTTGAATCTACTTTAAAATTAGAAGACTAGTTAATTTTTTTACTGTATATGTCAATGTTACAGTTCATCCCAACAACATTGACTCTTGATTCAGGAGTCACTAGACCACCGCCTCTTTTAAGTGAAGCTGATTTACTAAGTTGTATGGACAAGGTGAGCAGATTGGTACACTGATCTGGTTTTAGATTAATTCTTTTATTGCTCTCTAAGGCTGTAATATTGATTTATTATTTTGTTATCAGGCGGGCATTGGAACAGATGCGACAATGCATGATCACATAAAGAAGCTGCTAGATAGGTTTTATGCAACAAAGGATGCAAACACGCGCTTCTCACCAACTAATCTTGTAACTTATTTGGCTTGAACTCTTTGTGATATTTTTTTGCTTTCTTATGTGTGATCTCCTTATGATCATGGGCTCTGCTTCCTATGATCATGAGGAAAAGAATAACATGGTAGGTTAGAAGTAAAAAATGGGGGTAAAACTGGATAAATGAAAACCATAAACACCTTAAGAGTAGCTCATCTTTGTAGATGCACTCAATTTGATTACTTGTTTTATTCTAGAGTGGGAATTAATAAATTTATTTAATTGCCATGTGAAATCAAGAAGAAAACACCTGATAATTTTAATTATTGTATTCTACACTTGCATAGGTTACAACAGTCTAGTTATATAAACTTTATTAGGATATTCTGATAACTCTTAGGTTCAGGATTATCCTTTTATTCAAATAGCTAAAGTTAAGATAAATCCTAAGTTTAAAAAACCCCTACTATCCTTATCAAGAACTTCTACACTCCTCAAGCTGATGAGAAAATATTTAGCATTCCTAACATAGAAACTAGATTGTCAAAACTCTATCTAGACAATCCTTTTGTAAGAATGTTCGTAGTTTGTTGGCTAGTAGGTAGATAGATAACACACAACAACTTGTCTTCAATCTTCTCTTTAATAAAGTGCCTATCAATCTCCACATGCTTAGTTCTATCGTGATGTATTGGATTATGTGCAATTCCAATCGCAGCCTTGTTATTACAGTGGAGCTTTATAGGATCTTCACTATTGATTTTTAGTTCTGCCAAGAGTCTTTTTAACCATATCAGCTCATGTCGTTGCCCGAAATTCAGCTTTTGCACTGCTCCTTACAACCACAGTTTGCTTCTTGCTTCTCCAAGTCACCAAATTTCCCCAAACAAAGGTACAATACCCTAAAGTTGACCTTCTATCACTCATTGAACCTGCCAGTCTGTATCCGTGAATGCCTCCACCTATCTTTCATTAGTTTTCCCAAAAAACTGTCCTTTCCCAGGTGTCATCTTCATGTACCTTAAGATTCTATTTACAGCTTCAAGATGCTTTCCCTATGGGTTGTGCATGTGTTGGCTTACCACACTTACAAAGTAGGCTATGTCAGGCCTTGTATGAGCCAAGTATATTAGCCTCCCAACCAGTCTTTGATACCTGCCTTTTTCAACTGGTGTATCTTCACTATCCTGGTCAAACTTCACATTTGGCTCAATAGGGTCTCAGCAGGCCTACACCCTAACATTCCAGTATCTTTCAAAGAGATTCCTTTCTTACTCCTGGCAACCTCTATTGCTATAAAATATCTCAACTGCCCTAGATCCTTTATCTCAAACTCCTTGGCAAGAACCTTTTTTACCATTTCCATTTCTTTTAGATTGTTTCCTGTAAGAATAATATCATCTACATATATTATTAAGACAATAATCTTACCCCTATTATTCTTGAAAAACTAAGTATGATTCGTTTGACCTTGTGTGAACCCATAACTTCTAATAGCCTTGGTAAATTTTTCAAACCAGGCCCTAAGAGACTGTTTTGAGCCATACAAGGATTTCTTTAGCTTACAAACCTTCCTCCCTATCTAATTACCTTCTAAACCTGATGGTAACGCCATATACACCTCTTCTGCTAGGTCACTATTCAAGAAAACATTCTTTACACCCAGCTGTTACAAGGGCCAGTCTAAGTTTGCAGCCAGGGAAAGGAGAACTTGAATAGTTTTTAGCTTGGCTATGGGGGCAAAGGTTTCCTGGTAATCTACTCCATAGGTCTGTATGAATCCCTTAGCTATCAACCTTGCCTTGTATCTCTCAACTGAACCATCTGTCTTATATTTTAATGTAAACACCCATTTACAACCCACAGTAGTCTTCCTCTCAGGTAAGCTCACCAATTCTCATGTCCCCTTTTTTTCAAGGGCCTTCATCTCTTCCATTACAATTTCTTTCCATTTAGGATCATCTAATGCTTCTTGTATTGACTTAAGAACCTATATGGTTGAGAGATTAGTAGCAACCACTCGAAAATCAGAAGATAGATTGTCATAGGACACAAAATGAGAAATAGGATGTAGAGTACAAGACCTAACCCCTTTCCAAAGAACTATAGGAAGATCAACATTTGACTCAAACTCACTAGGAGGCAAAATTTTCTCACCTGAAGGCTGTGATTCATTGACTTCTTTCTGTTAGGATGATTGGCCATGCCGATCATTAGAAGGATTCTCACTGTCTTGATAACCAGGTTTCCGAGAATAAACTTTGGGGTCTGGTTGATTTAGCCTAGTCAAACCTCCCCTTATCTTCATATGTTTTTGAGTCAAAAGTGTCAAAATTCTCTTCTGTTGTAGGGTTTTCAAGTTTTTCTGTTTTGATGGAATTATGACTAGTAAGAGGTTGGATTTGAGTTAAAGGTGAGTTTTGATTCAAAGGTGTTATAGTGGATGTGGGATTCTGACTTGCGGTAGGATTCTAACTTTTCGGAAATGTTATTTCCCAAACACTATCTTTATTATCAATCCGTGAGTTCTCCCCCCGAAGAGAGGATTTGGTAAAACAAGGCTGTGGCTAAAAAAAATCACATCTTTAGAGATAAACAATTTCTTCCTTATAAGGCAATAATACTTATATCCTTGTTGAGTGGGAGAGTACCCTACAAACACACACTTAATGGCCCTAGGATCTAACTTGCCTCTGTTATGAGAGTGAACATGAACAAAGGTAGTACACCCAAAGACTTTCAAAGGCAGAGAGTTTAAGGCTTTAAAATCAGGAAATGTCTGAAGAAACGTGGAGAGAGGAGTGCAAAACTCTAAAATCTTAGTAGCCAATCGATTTACCAAATAAGTTGTTGTTAGGATTGCCTCCCCCCACAAATAATTAGGCAGGTTCATGGTGAGCATAAGTGCTCAGGCAACCTCTAAAAGGTGCCTATTTTTCCTTTCCACAATACTTTTATGCTGTGGGTATCTGCACAAGAACTTTGGTGTATTATTCCATGTCTAAGCAAATAGTTTCCTAGGCTAGAATGGAAGTACTCCCTACCACTATTTGTTCTTAGAACTTGAATATGTGTGAAACTGATTCTTAACCATGTAATGGAAATTCTTGAAGACTTCCTGTTTCAGATTTTTCTTTCATAAGATAAACCCAACATAGTCTAGTGTGATCATCAATGAAAGTAATAAACTATTTTGATCAAACAATATTTTTAACTCTAGATGGTCCCCAAATATCACTACGAATTATAGAAAATGGCCTCAAACTCTTGTTTTAATTAATTGGAAACATTGATCTGGTATGTTTTGTATTTTGGTAGATTTCACACTCAAATAATATTGGATTTTTATTTCTGAATAACACTGGAAACAATCTTTGTAAATAAGGGAAACTAGGGTGACCTAATCGGTGATGGCACAATATTATTTCTGAATTACCAGACATAGAAACAGAATTACACCTAGATGTTATAGCTTGATTATTCTCAAAATCCTTGGCATCAAAATAGTTGAGTCTTCCTCTAGCATTGCCAATCATCCTGCCCGAGAAAAGGTCCTAAAATTCACAATGAGAAGAAGAAAAATTAACCACGCAGTTTAAGTTCTTAGTCAATTTGCTAATATAGAGGAGATTACAAGCTAGACTAGGCACATGAAGGACAAATTGTAGACAAAGATTATCATATAGTTTGGTAGTCCCTTTACCAACTACTTTTGATAAAGAACTATTAGCTATTCTAACCCTTAGATTACCATAACACGGGCTGTAGGATACAAACACACTTGAGTTACCTGACATTAGATCTGAGGCCCCTGTATCTATAACCCAAGAACTGGTTGTTCCTACACTGGTATGCCAAGCTGTGAGGGAATTACTAGTTTCAGCAAATGAACAAGAGTGATTAGAGGAACCAGAATTGGACTGATTGAATAATTCTTATAAGTGTTCCAACTGTTCTTTACTGAATGGTACAGACCTTGGATGATCTCCATATTCTTCTATCCTAGCATGAAATCCCTTGTCGCTAGCCTTATTAATCTCTTAATTGGTTGGCCTGTCATATAGTTTCCAGCAAGTAGCCTTGATATGCTTTGGCCGATGACAATACTCACACCAGATTTTTCTTTTTCTCCTCTTTTTTGCATCCTCTGCTCTCCATCAGACCTGGTATGATTGTCCCAACCCTTTGAAACCAAAGCTAAAGACTCTGATAGTGTGCTTAAACTGTTGGATCCTATTGATTCACCTATCATCACTTTCCTTCTACTTTATTCTCTTCTAACCTCTACAAATACTTCTCTTATAAAAGGTAGAGATTCTTCTTCCAAGACCCTACCCCTTACTTCATCTAGTTCCTTATTCAAACCTACAAGTAACCCAAACACCCTCTCTTTTTCTAACATTTTTGTGTATTTGGTAGTATCCTGAGAACAACTCCAGTCTGCTTCAAAGAACAAGACCAGCTTCGGCCACAATTTAGCCAAAACGCTATAGTATTGAGTTACATCATGTTCCCTTGTTTGGTCTCTCTCAATTGAGACTCCAACTCAAATATTTGTGTTGAGTTCCCCACATCAGAGTATGTTTCCTTTGCAACTTCCCAAATATCCTTTGCAGTGGGAAGAAACAGGTACAATTGACCAATCTCCTCTTCTATGGAATTGATTAACCATCCCATCACTATACTATTCTCAACATCCCATTTTTGGTATGCTAGGTCATCTTCTTGTGGGGCTTTAATCGTACCAGTCACATAGCCTAGTTTACCTCTTCCTCAAACCATTAACTTTACCGCTTGAGACCGTGAGACATAATATTTCCATTTAGTTTGTGAATACTGATCTGGATTGAATTATTATCATTATTACCTGAAGAAAACTGGACTTCTGGTTGTCCAGATCTCATATTTGAGGAGGATGAAATCTGATGAGAGGAGGGACTGGAGGATGAATCTCAAACAGGTGGAGGACTAAAGCTTTTGCCTTTTCTCTCACCAGTCATGGCAATTTTCACCATTAGTATTTACATCCAGAGGAACCTGGTTCTGATACCATGAAATCAGGAAGAAAACACCTGATAATTTTTATTATTGTATTCTACATTTGCATAGGTTACAACAGTCTAGTTATATAAACTTTATTTTTTAGGATATCCTGATAACTCTTAGGTCCAAGATTATCCCTTTATTCAAACAGATAAAATTAAGATAAATCCTAAGTTTAAAAAACCCCTACTATCCTTATCAAGAATTTCTACACCATGTAAGGTTTCCTTTTTGATAGTCATTGCATGTCTACAATTTTGACTTTTTTATCCAGTCTAGTGGAAACCAGGACATTTTCTTGCCTATATGGAAGTTCGAGGATTCTATTGTTTTCTCCTGCTCTATATAGAATCATCAATAATTGGGATTCTTTGGCATATAGTATATGTGCACTCAGGCCATAGCTTTTTTCAGATTTTGAGGGTATAAAGTGCTTTTATTCAAAGAAATTTCCTCTGCATTAACATAGAAACAAAGTTTGTGCTCTAATATTCTTGGCATTGCTTGGGCATTGATCTGCCTAGAACAGTCCTTTCCTTAATGCCAATCCAAAAGGCATTACTTATCATTTCAAAAATGGTTTTAAATTGTTGACTGCTGCTCTGTGAGGAGTGACATAAGCATCGATGTCACTCAGAGTCAGAGCTGTTCTGTGTTTTTCAGTGATGTTTGACATCATGCTCCTATGGATTGAAATGACAGATAGAGGTTAAAATATCTATCTCCTGGCTATCAAGGATTATCAAGTCAATGCTGTCTTAGCTGTAGTGTGCATGATTGGGTAAAATGTTCGAGTCACATTCCCAAATTTGTTTTCATGTCAAGGATTTGGGAGTAAAAAGTGTTTGATATTTTCTGTATTATAATTTTTTGCGGAGGTTTTTCCTTGCTGCTTTCACATTTTTTTTCTTTTTTCTTTTATCTTGTTATAAGGTTGATCAAAATGGTTAAATAATGTATATTCTAAGGTAGCTTCTGAATTTTTGAGAGTTTTATTACTCATATACTGCACTTATGTAAACAAAGTGTTGGTACAAAATAGATACAGCAGATGCTACGATAACGTGTCTTGTTTCCTATGAAGTAGTATTTTTCTTTTCTTAATTATAAGTTTGATGTAATTTCAGGGAGAGGCGCTAGTTATGGGGTATGATGACATGGGGTAAGTCACTTCCTCTTCATGCACTTGATTTGAATTTTGTCACTGTAGATCATGGTAGAAATTAGCTATTGTGTATTCAATCTAAATGGTGGCATTCTGGGAGCAGTAACGAACAAGATTAAATGTGATGGGTCTTTACGACAAATATTAATAACCTTTTAAATATAAGAATATTCTTTGGAAGACCGTAGGTCGTCGTGCAGAACTTGCAATTATATAGCCACTATAAGCAGGTTTTGTGTAATTAATTCTAATGGTCGTATTAGTGGTGTGTATTTTTCTTTACCTATTTTGGTAATTATATTCAAGAAATGAGTAAGGGTAGAACAAAAGAATAAGGATTATGGAAATGTGCAATCTTAGCTTTGTTTCAGAAGATTGGTGAGAAATAGCCATATTTTTGAAAGAGAAATGGATGAAGAGGTGGACATCCTATGAGGCAATTCATTTCTTTGGCTCATTTTGGGCTTATGTGACAAAGGAGTTTCAAGACAATTTCTTCTTCTTCATTAACTTGAAGCGGAATGGAGCTTTTGGGATAATATGTTCTTGGGGTCGTAATTTTTCCCTTCTCTTTGGGGTGGTTTACTGGTTTGGGTTATAGATTTTGCAGTATACAACTTGTATAATTTTTGTTATCTACACTAGGATTGTTTCTGGTGTCTCTGGGAACCTCTGGTTCACTTTCTGTATCTTATTTTTCAAATCTAATAACCTTATGTTTCTTATCAGATAATAATAATAATAATATTTAAATTTTAGTGACTAACAACAGTTAATCAACACAATAATGAAAATTGTGGCCTGCTATATATATACTGATTGGCATCAAAACATTTTGTGAAGCTTATGTATTATAAACTCGTGACTGTCATGATTCTGACTGCTCATTTCACATAATTTTATTAATATTTTTCCTAAAGAAGTTCTAGTAAAGTATATACTGGTGTCATAGTAATTTTTTAGTACCTTTTTCCAGGTATGAGCTCTGGAAGCCAAATCTCAGATCAATGATGGAAAATGACATGAAAGAAGTTAGTGTAGGCAATAAGAGTAGAGCTGAAGTTTTGGCAAGTTGCTTGCAGCAGATGAAAGCTTGCTTTTTAGATGTAAGTTGTTGGTTGGTTATCTTATATACTTATGGTATGTTCATTTGCTGTCAGGCATCTCTGAATTTGATTTTTTTCTTTGCTTGCTCGAGATTGTGGAAACTTGATGACTTTTTGATCCTATATAATTTGCTTTATGAATTTGGTTATCCAGGTCAATAAATGCCTCTCTTTTTGGTCTAAATCTTTCAAGTCAGTGGATATTGTAATTATTATGGTTGGGGTTATGGCATGCTAATAATAATTAGCAGAATTAACATGAATTGCTGGCATGTGAACATCTTTTCATTTTACAAGAGAGCTCAATTACCAGAGAATATAACATTTTTGTGGTGACTGAGGTGGTATTAATTAGCTTTTATTGTTTCTGTCACTTGTTGTTAGAAGGTTTTTCAAATTATTTTTACCATTAGGAAGTCATAAGGCTTTTGTACAAGAATCTTATTTGAGTTGACAACCTTATGAGTTTTTACAATTATATTTGAACAAAGAAAATAAAAAAATACAGTAGTTTTTTTTTGCCAAAAGAATTTTGTTTTTAAAAGATATTATAAGAAAATTATTGTAAAATTTTTATTCTTTGTTCTGAAATCATACTATATTTGAGCACTGTTTTTTTCTCGATTTTTCCTTTCACAAGAAATGTGGAAAGTAATTTTAATTTTGATCATTTTTATTCTTTTTCCTGAAGTCACTCTAAATTTGAGCACTTTTTTCCTTTGATTCCCTTTCACCAGGAAATATGAACGATCAGTAGGATGTACCTTTTAGACACATTTTTTCTATAAGTTTTGTTGTGAGAGAGGAGTGCAAGGAAATTGGCATTCGATGAAACAACTGGTTAAATGCATGAATGTTGATTGTAGGGTAGACTATACTTACCTCCCTTGTGGTTTACCTAAGTTTTAGTAAGACTATTGGTTTGGAAAGTTAGACTAACCCCTTCTATTGCCAATTACTGTTACAGATTTTTGTCTTTTGACCATTCTGACTTTCAAGATGACTATAATGACCTTAATTCACCCAAAAACTGATGATTTGATGATTTTGTTATTAAAAATAATTAATTCCTGTTTAACTATGAACAAAATATGGGACAAGATAAAGGTTTCCATTTGGTGAAATGGGAGATAGTGTCTGGACCTTTTTTAGCCCTCGTAAAGTGGAAGCTTGGAAATTGAGAAAAAATTCGCGGGAGGATAAGTGGATTAATGATTCTCCTTTGTGCTTTGTTTCCCCAAACATTATTTTCAAGACATAAAAACACTGCCATTTAAGATACGGTAGTCTCTTTTTTCTCGTTGCTTGGGTTGGCTTTGGAACTTTAACTTTTTGAGAAGTTTGAAAGATAGAGATAAAGAAGAGCTGTCCGGCCTCTTAGTAATGGTGGACACAGTTTCCCTTGATGAGATGAGAGAGGATAGAATAGTCTGGAAATTCTATTCTTTTGGTATGTTTTAATGCAGCTCATGTTTCAATTGATCAATTTATGATCACTCTCTTAGCCTTTTCAGCCAGACTGCATGATTTGGAAAGCCAAATTGCATTGTAAAGTCAATATTTTTGGTTTGATCATCTCTCTAGGTAAATCAATATAGGTTATGTTGTTCTAACAAGGTTTCCAAATCACCTCTTCTTTCCCCTTGTTGGTGTCTTGTGCAAAAGTAATATGGAAACTACAAATCACTTCTCTTTCATTGTAGTTTTTCTTTAAGATTATGGTACAAACTTCTCCAGGTGGAATAGATGAAGTAGGTTATTCCAGCTTGTTATAGTGACTTCTTTTAGAATAAATTTTGGGTTCTGGTAACGGTGATAAGGTCAATTGTTAGCTTTAGCATATTCAAATTAACAGTGAGGTAGGTTTCTATTTTCTGAAACCAAGGGGATCTATTTGGGATACAAGTAAACCATAAAGTTAATTTAAATTTAGCTTGCATTTTAAGATTGTCATAATTAATGTCTTATTAGAACTTATATTTTCTTCTTCTTGTCCCATTATACACACACACACTCACACACACATAGAGGAAATGGTATTATTATTTCAAAGCTCTGCTGTTGAGTGTTTTGTAGACAACACACATTTTCAAAATTAGTCCATGCATCTTACTTTGTTATTTATTTTTCCAAATTACTATTAAAAATTTCCCTGTTTCCATATTTTCTTGAACTCATATTTTGTCTATAACAAAACTGGAATCATGGCAGGCGAGGATGAAAAAAGTTAAACTCTTACAAGCAATGGCAATTTTCTTTGAGAGGTTGTTCCTTATCTTCCTACTGTTTTGTGGATAATACATTTCACTTGTTAATGCAAAGCTTTAAAACTTGTAGATCTGGTGGTGATGAACAGCGAGCAAGTGGAGAAGTTGTTTGTCGATGTGGTATTTGCCAAGAATCAAATATGGTGCTTAGGCAAAGCCGGGTAATAATTTATAGAATATATTTCACTAATTTAATAAATAACGGTTTGGTAATTATTTACGTTTTCATTATATAGATACATGTCTATCCTTATGGGGGATGAGGTACATAAAATTGGTTGGGATTCATTACTGTCTTGATTCTTGGTATTGTAATTACTTTGTACTGTATCATAAAGTTCTAAGCAATATAGTTACTCATTTTCTGATAAACCACTGTCATTTAATTACTCTTTACAGGATGGCAATTTCATGGTTGGTTGTGTGGCTTATCCACAGGTTGGTATACTTTTCTTNAGGAAATGGTATTATTATTTCAAAGCTCTGCTGTTGAGTGTTTTGTACACAACACACATTTTCAAAATTAGTCCATGCATCTTACTTTGTTATTTATTTTTCCAAATTACTATTAAAAATTTCCCTGTTTCCATATTTTCTTGAACTCATATTTTGTCTATAACAAAACTGGAATCATGGCAGGCGAGGATGAAAAAAGTTAAACTCTTACAAGCAATGGCAATTTTCTTTGAGAGGTTGTTCCTTATCTTCCTACTGTTTTGTGGATAATACATTTCACTTGTTAATGCAAAGCTTTAAAACTTGTAGATCTGGTGGTGATGAACAGCGAGCAAGTGGAGAAGTTGTTTGTCGATGTGGTATTTGCCAAGAATCAAATATGGTGCTTAGGCAAAGCCGGGTAATAATTCATACAATATATTTCACTAATTTAATAAATAACGGTTTGGTAATTATTTATGTCTTCATTATATAGATACATGTCTATCCTTATGGGGGATGAGGTACATAAAATTGGTTGGGATTCATTACTGTCTTGATTCTTGGTATTGTAATTACTTTGTACTGTATCATAAAGTTCTAAGCAATATAGTTACTCATTTTCTGATAAACCACTGTCATTTAATTACTCTTTACAGGATGGCAATTTCATGGTTGGTTGTGTGGCTTATCCACAGGTTGGTATACTTTTCTTTTTTTTTTTTTTTTGAATATTTATTTTTAAAACAATGTTCAAACAAATAGATAGCTTTGGTCATCTAAATTGACCAAATAATCCCCATGAATACTGTGTCTAGGGTAATTAGGATGGGCCCTGTGAAGTTAAGCATGATCAAAGGTTGTGTTGTTTGCATTGGCTCCAATAGAATTTTGACCCAGCATATTATATGAGTGGTACACATCATGGATTATCGATAAATTTTTCAGTATAACATAGGGCCATGACAACACCCTCAAACTTAAGTTTCACCATTACTAGAATTTTTTAATGAACATCATGCCATGTGTGCTCCAATTTCAGTTTGGTATCTCTACACCACCAATATGATTGGTGCTCTATGATATGAATATGTTCATATTATGGCAGTGTTTAATTGGATGGTGGTCCACTTTGGCACGGGGTTCGTGGATTCCAACCAATGCTCTCCCTCAAACTTAATATGAGCATCTATTATGCTATGTATATAAGCACACATTCTTCAAAAATAGTTCTTCATGCAAACTTGTTGAGTGTGAGGGGCATTCCATGCCATGCATATACCCTGTCATGCTATGTGTATGAACAATCTTTGAAACTATACATATATATCTGATGGCTTGTAGTTAGTAAACTCATAGACGATTCAGTAAGCCTCTTGAGACGCTTAGTTTCGTTATACATGGTTAGCCTTAAAACTACCTACAAATTTGATAAGTATAGTAATATGACATTCTAGAAAAACCTCTTTACATCTATATCGTGCAAACACTTCCTGATCCCTTGACCACTGATTGAGTGAATATCTCCACATTAGGATCCAAACAATAGGTGCTGAGCATTTTTCTAATTGACTAAATAATTTAAGACACTGGTAATGGAAAATTATTCTCACTTAGACAGAAATTTTACCATTAAATACAAACACTCAGTCCCTTTCAAATTAATTACTATGTGAAATCAGCAGATAGCACTATTGACGTTTCATAAAGATTCGACCTGCAATGTTCTATTGCTATTGCAATTTTTGTTTGCCATATGGTGACTTGGACAGTAATTACTATAGCAAGATCTGTGCTTTATGTTTGCAGTGCAGGAATGCTGTTTGGCTCCCTGGATCTGTATCAGAAGCAGCTGTAACCTCTAACGCTTGCAACTCTTGCAGTCCTGGTTCCTACTTAACTTTCTATTAGTTTATATTTTGTGCACTGGATTGTAGTTTTGACATTTGTGTATTGAGTGTTTGTCTGAAGCAATTTATCTAACTGTTTTTAGTAGTAGGTGGGAAGAAGATGAACCATCAGTTCTAACTTACAATCCTTTATATCCTAAGTTGGTACAAAGCCCCTATGCGACATCACTTTGTAGCATGTTTGTCATGGAACTCCGTCAGTTTTATGTATTTCATTATTTTTGTATTTTGTGAAAATTGGAACATGTTTAGCAATTGTTGTAAGACATGTTGAACGCTTTTTGCTGTTTTGTCTGATACCGAAACACATACCTGTAACCATTTTGACAACATATTTTGTCTGGTACAGATATCCACCTGATCTTTTTAAGTGTTGCAACGTAGGTCACATGCAAATTGTATCTCCATTGACTTATAAATTCATAATTAGTTTCACTGCTTCTTAATGAACCATCTTATTTATTTATATAGTGATTTCATTTGTCAGTAATGATAATATACTTTCTCAATAGGTCCTGTTTACCTGATTCAGTTCAAGTTTCGTCAGCATGAAATACCTCCCGGTTTCAGTGCCACCCATTTGGGTACGTTTGCCTCATGAATTTTTATGAACTCTTTCATTGCTGTTAAATTTATTGGCTTAAATTTTTTTGCCATTTTGAAATGATGTCCTTTTTTTTTTTTTTTTTTTTTTTTTTTGAAGTTGACCTTAAGTTGTGAAAATTTTACTTGTTTTACAACCTTTCTTCTCACTTACATATATATGTTTCTATTTTATACACTTTTGAGTCTCAGTATAGCTTTGAGGTATTATTGTCCATAGTTGTGTGCCAGAAACATGTTTAGTTCCTTTAATTTAGAATCTTGGCCTGCCAAGGACAATTAGGCGTATATTGGATCCCATGTCTGCAATTTAAAGGCGATTTTTATTTTTGTCATGATGGACATGCCTACTCTTGCAATGTTATTTTTCCAAATGAGTTGTTCTTTACAGTAAGAATGCTTTCTTTTTTTTTTTCTTTTTTTTTTTTTTTTTAAGTTGAAAGCAGCTGATTCAGATTACAACAAGCTGAAGAAATATGGTTGAATTTTGATGTTGAGTTTTTTTTATAGATTTCTTTCCATTTATATGCTTTTATGTAGTTTTTTATAATCTTTAATTAAGTTGTGATTTTGTAATGTTTAGAGGGAATTGCAATCATCCTATTTTCTTAGCTGGGTAGTTGGTGGATTAGTTACCTTCTTAGCTTTTAGTTTGGTTATACAAATAAATGTTTAAAAAAATTTTGGTATGGTTTTATGGTTCTCTGACTGATGAGAATCACAATAAGGAAGAAAGGGGAGAAATTATAAAAGAAAGCGAGAGACCTTCAGACAGAAATTAAGGAGAGAATTCTCAATGAAATAACCTATGTTCATTCATAAGCAAGACTAAAAAACAATAATTATTAAGGCCCTTATGTATAGTGGTTAAATTCCTAATTACAGAAAGAAATTACTCTCTAGTAAAAGATAAAATGAACACAAATTGAAAAGTTTACTCTTACTTGGACAATTGTTAGGATGGAAACCAGAAAAAGAAACGACTTATCTGTATTGTGCTAGTTTTTCGGTTTAACACTATGGCTAGAACCTTGAGAAGCTATCGGTTGAAATTAAGCAGGTCGATCTGTAGATGTTGATAAGGCTGATGAAGATCATCTAATTGGTTAAAACCTCATCTTGGGTTAGAAAACTAAAAGTTGGAACTAAATTTTATAGATGAGATATGAGATAGAATTTCCCAAGCAATGATCTAGGATTTTGATAAAGATTCAGGTATCAGTTAGAGAGGAATGACTTCATGATCTAAGTAATAAAAAAATATGTTATTTATACTTTGGGTTTTCATTGTTTTCCTAGGGATTTTCCTAAAACCCTCTGTGCTACGCGTCTCCTTTTGATTGATATTTTGTAGCTCACCTCTCATGTAGAGTGATTGGTGTGGTTGACATTGTAAAGCATCAATTTAAGCTATTTTATTCTACCTAGATGTATCTGTGTTTTGTGGAAGAAGAGGCAGGTGTTGATCAGCTTCATCCTGGCTGAATGATGGGGTAGTACCGATCTAAGACCATGCCCAGTAAGATTTAACCCAATCAAATCTCAAGACAAGCAAACGAGAGCCCAATTTCTTTCTTTCATCCATTATACCCCTGTTTTGGTGACAAATGCTGCTTGCCCATAGGAGGAAAATTGCCATTTTTGCAGGAAGTATCTCTTAATCTCTAATGTCTTATGGTATGCATCATCTTGATCCCCAAGAGATTTCACTTAGTGATTAGGACCATGTCTTCCATTCAAATAATTGGTGATTCCTTGATTGGCATTCTTGCTAGCCATAAGACATTAGACATTAAGAGATACCTCTTGTGAGAATGGCAATTTTCACTTGTTGAACATCTTTTTGCTTTAGCCAAACCACTAACTTGAAACAATGTCCTTCTTACGCCAACTGAATCATTTTAATCCTTCTAATCTTCTAGTTCTCTTGAATTTTGCCCCGTGAAAAATGAGCGTCAATTGTGCATTTATATGATGCTCATTTTTCCCCTATACTATTGTTCATAAATTTTCATATCTTCATTCTATCTACAATTTTTCTGGCTGCAATTACAAACACACAATCATAATTTCTCATACTCCATACTATTATTTTTCACTCGGCAGGAGATATTTTAAAGATTAATATAGTTTTGAGGAATCCGAAACTTTTATCTCTTGCTGAATTTCTTCTACATGTGAGCAGGCTGCATTGGTGGTTGTGATGAAACTCTTAGACAGTTAATAGAAATCTGTGGAACTGGTTCACGCATTCCAGGTATGTACTTATATGTATGTAAATTTATAAAATAAAGAAAAATAGAAGCAGCATTGCACTGTACTCTCTCGTAATTGTTTGGAAAGGGAGGGTATGAGTCTTACAGGTATTTCTTCTTCTGTGGTTGCCCAAACTGACATACAAAAACCTCTTACCGCATGTTTGATGTGTTATCCAGCAAGAGGCCGAGGACCGAGTGTATCATCTGGTAATGTTCAACAAAGTAACACTAGGCAGCGTGCTTGCATTTACTGCCAGCAAACAGGGCATGCTTCAAGTGATTGCCCTTCACAACTTTCAGGCTCTCGAAATGCTCGCTCTAGAGCGATGAACATGCAAAGTGGTATAAATGCTAAAATCCCATTTCTTTTCAACATTTGGAATATTTTTTTAAAAACGTACTTTTGCTTTGTCAATTTACTATTGCATTTACTACACATGCCCAGTAACAGGACACAATTATCTGCTTGTGTAGAAACTGAATTATGTACTCTTGTATCACATGAGTTTAAAATGGTAATGTTTCTAATTTTAGAGAGTTAAATTTTCTTTCGAAGCTTATCCTTCTCTGAAATTATGTTACAAAATAGAAATTGTAGACAGTATTGTGGAAGAAATTTCTGAAATCATCTGTGCAACTTTCAGTCAATTTTGTACGTTATTTTGTGTAATTCATCCTGTTCATGTTTTCCAGTTTTGGAGTCAGATTCAGTGTTTCCTATCATCTATATCAAAGCCCAGAAATAGGACTGTGATATTGGTAGTGATTGAAACGAAAGTTATGAAAGATGTTTCCTGTTCAACTCTCAACTCTCAACTCTCCACCTTTCCCTCTTATTTTCTGGTTTCTGTCTTTCTCCTTTCCTCTTCCTTTGTTATCTGCTTTCAGATTACATTTTACCTGCACAAATAACTCAGGGAAAAATATCATCTTGAGCCAGTTTTAACTTTGAATTTGTAGAGACAGAACAATGGGTTTTAATCTTGCATTTAAGGGTTCAAATTTATAATAAAATCTGTAGGATATGTTTGACATAACTACTATTTGGGAACATCCAACTTAGCAGATTTTTTTTAGGCTCTGTGGAACAATACTGGCTTACAGCCTACAAATGCATTAATAACTATTGTTTTGAGAGCTAAACTTGAGACCAGTTTGGAAGTTGTTACTTGCATTGGCTGCCGAACTGTGATTTGAGACTGTGATTGTACTTTCTGGCTAGCAGCTGTTATGGCACTGTTGGGGATTGGATTGATATTTGTTCTGATGAAATTTCTTTTTGAAATTTTTTTTGGCAGGAGAGTCTTTTATGCAATGTACCACATGTGGAACGACATGTGTTTTGCGAACTGCTAATACAGCAAACAACAGAGGAAGGAAGTTCTACTCATGTCCTTCGCAAGAGTGCAATTTCTTTGCGTATGTATACCAGTACCTAGACAATTAATTGCTCTAGACAATCATTTAAACTGGACCCGTAGGAATTCATTTGCTTTCTGTTCTGGGTTTTAGTTGTTTATCTTGATTGAGCATACTCTCTCTCCCTGCATTTTTTACTTTTTGGGGTTCTTTGCTCCTCTTTCTTTTTCCTTTCTCTATTTTCCAGAGAGCCTTCTTAATACATCTTTTAGTTTGGATGGGAGGATTCTACTTGTTGAGTTGGTGAGGCATAGCGACCATCACTCGCTACAAATATGTCTGACTACCGTCACTTCAACCAGTACTCATCATGTGCTGAAAACATAAACTGCTTGCATATTTACTGTCATTTAGAAGATTGATTTGCCTTAATCTAAGAATCATATTTAATTTACAACTACAAACTGTAGTTGCATTACTGTGTGATTGTCGTGTCATTTATTATACTTTATTTGTAGCTATCACTTATCCGCTACTTTTATTCTACTTTGTATGAACAAGTTTATTTTGGTAGTTTGTAAATGTAATGTTACTCTAAATAAAAACTTGGTGTAATGTTTAACTAGATGTATAGTAAAATAGAAGTTGAATTTTGAACCAGAAATCACTACAGTGAGCAGTATATTTCAAATAAGTAATCCATACAGCACTCAAAAAATAAAATAAATGACTTTGCCTCTTTGCTCATCCTATTGACTGCAATGTAGATGGGAAGATGACCTCAACAGTGGCACTAGGGGAAGAAATAATCCACATGCACACATCAGCGGCTCAGCATCTAATACGAGCAGGAGGGGTGGCTGTGGCCGTGGCAGAGGCAGTCAAAGTGTAGGACGTGCTCCGGATATGACTTTTGTGTCAGCTACTGGTGATCCCATATCTGGTAGAAGATGTTATGTATGCGGTGATCCATCACATTTTGCTAATGTCTGCCCAAACCGTGGTACCTGATGATCCTGAAATAGACATCTTCAGCTCTCTATGTGCTAGTTCAAAGGTTGGTGCTGTTTGTTCTTTATTATAGACAGGTACATTACCAACCATATCTAGCACCTGCAGAGTATTAATGTAACTATAAAAAAGATTGACTGTAATGTGATAATAGTTTATCATTTCGTAAATCTGCTCATTACCTCATATCATATAGAAGATAACATGCAGTGAGGCTTGTCTCTGGGTGGTGTTTTAGAAATTGCATCGCAGTCTATCTAGAGCTTCATGCCTTAAAAGTGTGCTAATGCATACAATCTCTTTGATTTTTTCGTGCGTTCCAGGAGTATGCTGCTTGCCTACAATTATTAACAAGACTTCTGGCTGATAGTATGATATGCTTGAAAGAATTGACAAAACTTACCTGAAGAACATTTACATATTAGAAGTTTTAAGCAGTAGAGTTTTGCATCATCATGGGCTATTTTAACCTACGGTGGTTTCACTGTATATCTACTTCATGTTGAGTCTTGGATACTGTATTAACCAACAAGCACATTCGGTGTGTGGATAAATTAATATAGGGAGAAATCAGGGGAAGTGTTTTGAGACATTTTTGTCAATTTTCTGTATCTTGTTTTGTGGCCATAGAACCTTGTTCCAAAAGCGGAATGTTCAGTCGTGGTCTCTCAAACACTCCTAGGCCTGGAGATTGAGACTCCTTTGTCATATAATATTATAGTGACTTAAAATGTCAAAACCCCATTTGACTTGTCTTATTGGCGTTATCTGGCAATACATTCATGTCTATGTTTAGTTAGAAAAAATAAAGCAACAATCTCTTTAGTAATAATGGAGATATAAATTGTAGCATTGCATTGGGAATAACGGTCAATGGTGAAGGACTTGGATATCTATTTGATTAGATAATCAATGTACAGAATAACATTATCAAGTTAATAATTATCATCTAATTAGAATCGCAAATAGTGTAAAATTTACCAAACCCTTATTTGTATTATAGAATGGCCTCAGTTAGTCACTAGCAACATTTTTCTTAGGATTCTGCTTTAGTTTTAATGAATCACAACATATTTATGGCATTTTATTTGTTCTCCATGGTAGATATATATTATAATTATTTATGTACTAGAATGTGGGTATATGCTTTGCAATATTTGAATAATGCGAACCCTAAAAACAGAAAAGTATGATCTATTGGTTTGGGAGAAGTGATTTTTAGCTCTTATCTAATTGATATTCACCATCCATCAGTGTTTTAAAAACCAACTGGGGATGAAACTCGACAAAGTGGTTAGGTCTAGGGTTGGCTTGTTTAATCGGTTTGATTGGCGGGTCAAAGGTGTCCAAAAGTTTGAAATCCAATAAAAACACCCCTACGAATAACATATAAGTCCCTATAGGTTTGCAATTTTACAAAAATATCCCAAACACCATTGACGACATCGACAAATCAAGGCAAATAGGATCTGTTTTTAGCAATAGCAACACTCCCCATCATCATGAAACACTACCCTCAGCCTCTTTACCAAAACCCATCTCAATAGCCTAGCCAATCGTTAGCAACAAACAGTTGTTGTCGTCGATTTAGTTTTGTGATTTTCGGTCGATTGACTCAATGGAAATCACTTTCGTCGTCACTGTTGCACTTATCGATCCTTTTTCTTCAAAACCCCTAACATCCAAACCTTCAATTGTTCATTGATCTTAGTCTTAATTTCTAGGATTTTCGATGAATAAAAAAATTGGTAACCCGGCCCGGTGAAGTCACCGGGTCCTAATTTAATCGAATCAATCAGTCAGGTTTTAAAACATTGCCACCCATGATTAAGTACACGTCTTCTATAACTAAAAAAAAAAATCTTTTTAAACCCTATTTAATATCCAAAATAACATTTTAAACTTAACTAGATTTATTTTCCCAACTTCAAACTTAATTAAATTTTTTGTTTCACACCTTTTTTCTTAAATCAAACTTAATATCAAGAATAACATGACTTTAAAACATTAAACCAGTTTTTGGAGATTGACTAATTTCTATTGATTATATTTGTTTGGTTAATAATTTTGAAAATACTGTAAAATCAATATAAAATAATATATATATATATATATATAGACACACACACACACATACACAGAGTAGAACCTCTCTATAGTTATAATGTTGAGATGAACTAAATTTATTATTATGAGGAGGTTATAACTTAATAGAGGTGTAATTACAAGAATTATTATTTTTTATTTAAAAATTATTGTTTTGATTTCTTATTTAGGATTTCAATTCATGTTTTAATAGTATTAAGATTTCAATTTATTGTTTTAATAGTATTAGGGTAGTACGGAAATGGATATCAAAGAGTCATTTAGAATTGAACGATTAGATTAGATAACTTCACTACATTTATCAAATAGATATTAATATTTTCCTCAATTATCTAAATGAGCAACAAATCGTGTATGCTTTAATTGAAGAAGAAATCATTACTGAAATTAGATAAGAAGAGGAATGAGATAATCTTGAGGATGATAGTACGGAAATAACATAAGTTTCGTGCCAAGAGACTCTAAATATGTTTGAGAAGCTATAAATATTTTGGCTTCAACAAGAAGATATTCATGTTGGCGACTTATTGTGTACCTACAAGATAAAAGATGTGGTGACAACTCTAGAGCATAAATCATTGTTCCAAACAACTTTAGATAAATATTTTATATCATCTTAAACCTTTAATGTAATATAATATATATTTTTTACAATATACGTATAATTATTACTATGTAAAGACAAGTTCTTGACTTAAAAAAGTTATAACCTATTACAATGTGAATTTTATTCTTATTTATAACTGGCGTAAGTTCGGACAAAAAATTTACTTTCATCTTGCTAATAAAAGAAATTTTTGTCATACTTGCATTTTTCAAACTTTTATTCTGCATAATAAAACACTAAAAATAAATTACACTCAAACATAAACTATAATACACCCATTAGTTTAGATGGGTTGGTTATATATTTTCTAATTTTATTTATAAGACATATCCAAATATAAGGGGTTTAGTATTTTCTTATATAGAGCCTAGGATTGTTTATTTTAAATGAAATTTTAAGCATATTATTTAATATTAATTTTATGATACTATATTATAGAGTTTAGTTAATTAAGGATGGCAATTCTTGGTAATGCATCACCATATATTCATTTCTAACAGATGTTAAAGTCCAGGTTCAAACATGGAGAAAATTTAGCTGACCGCCCATCCCAAGTTTGGATTTAAAAAAATGGGCCATGAAACTGTTTACAATTTTTTTTTTTTTATTTAGAGAAGCTGACGTGGCACAATTAGGATCCATTAAACATGTAAAATGGGTTAAAATGAAAAGATTAAAACATATAAGGACAAAACATAATTAATGAAAGTTTTTAAAATTTGAAATTTACAAAAGAGCCCCAAATATTCAAATCCCTTCATCGAAACCAATTAAGGCAAAAATCGATATCTTCAATCCCTAAACACATCTGTGCAATTTTCGGCTATAACAGTCCACATTTTAGCGAAGTTTCACACCTAAATTCAATTCTAAAGCTTCTTCCTTTCTTAAAACTATGGCTGACATTAACAATGAGGAGGAAAACCCAATGCCTCTTCGAATCGTAGAGACCGGCGGCACAAACAGTTCAATGGATGCTCCGGTGGATCTTCCGATCAATGAAGGTGTTCCAACAGCGGAGACGACGGCGGCACAACAAGAGCGAGAACGGGAGCAAAACGGTTCTGAAGAGGAAGAGGGGGCCGGGCAGAATTCAGGCCAGGAAAAGGAGTCCGGCGAGAGTTCAAAGGAGGAGGAGGAGGCCGCCGAAGAAAAGGTATTTGTACTTGCCGAGACCTAAGATCGCTTAAGCGATCCTTTATATCGCTTAAAGGATCGCTTAAGCGATTGATGGCTTTTACTCTTGATTTTGGATTGCTTAAGAGTAAAAGCGATGAATCGCTTAAGCAATATAAAAGATCTCTTAAGCGATCTTAGATCTGGCGGATGTTGATTATGCCTCGTACAAGATCTCTTAAGCGATCTGTAATCGCTTAAGCGATCTCTTCCGAGGTAGAACCAAATCTGCCCAGATCTATAATCTCTTAAGCGATCCTTTGTATCGCTTAAGCGATTTCAGATCGCTTAAGAGATCTCGTATGAGGTAGAATCATCTGCCCATTGCTTAAGCGATTCTTCTAGAGCGTATTTTGTTTATATTTGATTTGGTTTAATTTTTTTGCTGATATTTTGTTTATATTGATTGTGCAGATTTTTTGGAGCGTAAACTATAGAGAGTACGGATTGGAGGTTGTAAGCGATATGGTACCGTACTTCCCTGTGAGGGTGACAGTGAGGTCAAGTTGGGATGTTTTAACGAGAATAACGGGGATTTTAGGGACAGTGAGGAATGGTGAAAGGAGATTCAAAGAGATTTGTTTCAGTCATTTTTGGGATATGGACACAAAATGGAAAAAGACATTCTGGGGGTCGGGAGTGCATTATATGTTACTGTACTCAATAAAAAGCAACAAAAAGCACGAAATGTGGTTCATGGTGGATGGAAAGCCAGTACGTTTCGGGATGATAGAATATGCGTTGGTGACTGGCTTAAGATGTGGGGAATTGGCAGGTGAGGTTGACGAAAAAAGAATAACGGACAGTACAGGAGCCAAAAGGTTGGCTAACAAGGTTTTGGCAGGGAAGAAGTCTATTAAGGCACAGGAATTAGTGGACAGGTTAAAAGATGGTGAGTTTAAAGATTCAGAGACATTCAAACTATGCTTGGTATTGTTCTTACATTCGATCCTAATGGCTAGTGACTCAACAAAAGCCATTGATATTGATTGGGTGAAGTTTGTAAGCAACTTGAACTTCTTTAATGCTTATCCGTGGGGAAAGGTATCATTTAAGCGAACCATAGAGTCCCTGCAAGCAAAAGACCTGGCGTTAAAACACTCCCAATGGGCCGAGAAGAATAGACCGGCGACGTACAATTTGTTTGGCTTCCTATGGGCAATGCAGGTAAATATTAATAGTTTTTTGTTATATTTTTTTTAATATATGTGTTTGAATTATGATATGGACTGTCTTTTTAAAATGTAGGCTTGGATGTATGAGGTCATCCCTGTCCTGGCTAAGGTAGGGGGGAGGATTAGGGCTTCGGTTGTGCAACAGACATTTCCTAGGATGTTGCGGTGGCACGACCATAAGTGTACCCATTCGGATTATGAGCAAATAGAGATTGAAATTCAATCAGCTCGGGTAAGATTAAAGGATTAAGCTTGAACATGCACTTGCTTTAAAATGTCGATTAAATCTGATTGATTTTGTTTCTTATTGCAGGGGGTTGTCCGTCCCTTCCTCACCACTACTGGGGGTGAAGCGCAACAGCACTATGTCACATCTTTCCGA